CTATAATAATCTTCAGTTCTGTGTGTTTCATGTACCTGTCTGTTACCAAAATACTTCATACTAGACAAATGGGAAGCGTTTTCTTAGAAAATGACTGAATGTATCTAAAACTGATCTGACAGCCTGATTTAAAATGGGCACTACAACTAATTCACATATTTTAAAATATATTTTTGAACTTTTGGCAGTTTTTCTTTTAAATTCCACCAGACCAGTAGTCCATGTGCCTGATAATAACATATTGTGCAGTGGAGGCTTAAAATGGTGAAAAAGTGGGCAAGTAAAAAATAAAAAAGACGTATCAAGTCTAAAGGAACTATACAGCACATTAAGGTTGGGCAAAATCGTATTGTGTGCAATTAATAGTCAGAAAATTTTTTAATCGATTGTTTTGCCACTTGACAATATGATTAATGCCACAAGGCAGACTACTCGGTCAGTCCGCTTGATGCTCCTCTCTCCGCTTCAAATATGACAAACATTTAACAAAAAAAGTTCTGTAATTTATTTCTCATAACGCAGGTTTTACTTGGTCTATCAATACAATTTGAAAACTGACGTAAATCCTGAAGTCTGTACTTTTGACACAGCTTGGAACTGATTTTTACAGAGAGCAAATCTTTCCCACTAGAGTGATTTCAATTGGTCATGTATAGGACATGCAGGCGTCCAGGGACTCCAGGGGATTAATTGTCATATTAATCGTTATCGGCTAAATACCACAATTAATCGTATTTAATTTTTTTTGCTAATATCGCCCAACCCTAAAGCACATACATAGTACCTGAAAATTATTAAAGAAATAAAAATAGCAAAGACCCGAAAAGCACAGACAGTTAGACAATCTGTAAAACTTTTTAGAATCATGTTTTTCATAAATTCAACTGAAGAACAAGTTCTATTTTTGTAACAAACTGCTAGTAAAATACCTTATTTCTAAGTTTTACCCCAAAGTGTCCGTTCTGGGTATTTGGTCATTTCTTGAGCTTGGGAACCTTTTCCTGCCTGGATAATTAATAGATTCAGGAGTTAAGTGGTTCAACAATTTAAAAMCATTCTGGTAAAAATGAGAAAATGACTAAACTGGAGAAAACAAACTCTGAAGTATGATAAAATATTGCTGAAGACCACTTTACATTAAAAAGATTACAAGATAATGTGTGCTCCTTGGACATGAAAACACATAAAGGATGATTCAGGATGTTTGCATCATGCATGCTAACATATTTATTTTATTATTTATTCTGTTTCAGTAGGAGTCCCAGTTGCCCTTCTGTCTGTAAAATCTGAAAAGGTTCTCAGTGAGAAGACAAACTACGAACTGCAGTGTGACGTCATCAGTGTTCCTGTCCAAAATCTCACCATTAAGTGGTACAAAAACAATAAAACCATGGATGTAAAGCATTTCTTATACACAACCAGCACACTGGTAAATAAATCCTACATTTTGGAGGTCAACGTCAGCAGAGAGGAGAATATTGCTCGSTTTAGATGTGAAGCTCAGCTGGAACCTGAACCAGAAGACGCTGTTGTGTCTCAAACGATCAGTCTCTCTGCGCTCTGTGAGTCTCTRATATCAAACTCAAACTTGTTGTAGTTTTAATTATTWGATGACCTGTGAAAATAAAGTGTTTCTGTTTTCAGATGCTCCTGTGTTTCTGGTGAACCACAGTAATTACATCACGGTACACAGGGGGGATAATATGAGCCTGAGCTGTGAGGCTGACGGGAACCCTCCTCCTGAATATCAGTGGACAGTCGACGATGGCGTGGACCTCTCAGAGAACTCAAGTGAACTCAGTGTAGTTAACGTTGACCGTAGTGCAACCTACAGCTGCACAGCCAGCAGTCATTTTGGAAATATAACTTTGAGCATCCAAGTTCACGTGCCGCCAGTGGCCAGAACATTCCCTGCAGATGCTCCTGATCCTGAACCACAGTGTACATGTTCATGTTTACTTTACAAACATTTCTCGATTRCTTTATTCATTATGCACCAATTCAGCCATGTAACTGGATGCTTGTCTTTCTTTCCTGAATAACAGCCTGCRATCTTACAATGACGCCCTCTGAAGTTGTTGTGGAATTTGGAGATCCACTTGTAATTAACTGCAGCACGTCTAGTGCCGACATTGATTTTATGGGCTGGGAGTCCCCGTACGGTGGATCTCAGAAAAAATCTTCAACAGTAACTTTGAACATTACGAAACTAGAATATTGGGCTTTTGAGCCTTTTTGTTTTGCTACTAAAGTGAATGGAAATCAGTGTATTAGAAACCCAATCATCCATCTTTATAGTGAGTACACAATGTGAATYATATTTTATATTTTACATTCAATTAAATAATTTGCAACAGTGCCACTGTCAAACAAGTGTAGAACGTTACAATGTTAGATGCTAAATGAGCAGCATCCTGTTTATTTTACTTTTTATTCCCGTTTTTATCTTACAGAGACTCCAGATTTTGTTTCAGTCTTTTCAGACAGTCCTGGTCCGATGGAAGAGGGCTCAGCGTACCGGCTGCAGTGTGACATCTACAATGTGGCTCCTGTGTTTGGACTCAAAGTGAAGTGGCACCAGGGCAATAAAACCGTGTTCACAGATGACCTAAAATACACAAATAAGGCTAATACACTTCCAAGTAATTTTCAGTCCAACCTGACTTTCACTGCTAAGAAAAGTGACAATGGATCGCTTTTTAGATGTGAGGCTGAGCTGCAGCTCGGACCTAAAGGACCAGAGTTTGTCCCCTCTGTAGTCTCAGAACCTCACCTTGCTGTTGTACTCTGTAAGTTTCACACACAATATTCTGTATTTAAGGGTGTCAGTTTGGACTAAATTATCCTAGTTCTCATTTGTAGATAAACCCCTCATCGAAGACTGTCCACAGAAGACCACTGTTGAAGAAAACAAATTCAGTCTGAATGATCTGTCTTGTAAGATTGAAGGGAACCCACCTCCGGCTGTCAAATGGTACCGTGAGGGTAAACTGATCAACTCTTATGAGACTCTGAACAGGACTGACTCTGGAACATATGTGGCTAAAATTACCAACAGTATGGGCACGAGCACACACTCTGTTTTCATCACAGTTGAACGTAAGTCCATAAAACACCTTTTGTGTCATTACATTATGGATTAAAAACATAATCTGAAATATCAAAAAGAAAAAAATAAGTAGGTCCTCTGGATGGGTTCTTCTTTAGTGAAACGTTTCGTCTCTCCTCCAAGAGACTTCTTCAGTCTGATGAGTTTCAGGTGAACTCAGCCTTATAAGCACTGCCTCCACATGGACAAACAGGTTAGTCATATGCAAAAGAGGGCCATCGCCTAACAATAGGCTTGACAGAACTAATCAAGCCTATTGTTAGGCTATGGCCCTCTTTTGCATGTGACTAACCTGTTTGTCCATGTRGAGGCAGTGCTTATAAGGCTGAGTTCACCTGAAACTCATCAGACTGAAGAAGTCTCTTGGAGGAGAGACGAAACGTTTCACTAAAGAAGAACCCATCCAGAGGACCTACTTATTTTTTCTTTTTGATTTTTTTCTACCTGGATTACTGAGATGCATCAGGACACACTCTGGAATAATTTTGGGTGTATCTTCGCAGACGGTCCCAGCTTTGATTGTAAGATGCAATACGTGGTTGAGGTGAATGAAAAAGGGAAAACTCTGTGTGAACCAAAAGGAATTCCTTCTCCCACCATCAGCTGGTTCAAAAACGGAAAAGAGGCAACTTTCCCGCAGCGGTGGACAAAACATGACAGTGGAAACTATTCGCTTTACGCACAAAACAAACATGGAAGTGCCAAGCATGAATTTTATCTTGATATTTTGTGTGAGTCTTAACTTTTACTATTAAATGTTCAACACTGAATATAAGAAACAAWTATGCTCACMGCCTTTAATGCCAGAGTTTTAGACTAATTTCATGTTTTGGTGAGAAACAAACSTTTAAACTACCATATCAAGTTTTAGCTGAATATGTATCAAATTGAACGAGTTGTACCCATTTTTGTTAAGTAGATGTGGAGCTTAATCTTGAATTTTATCGACTCCTAAAGTAAATAGACGTTCATCTGTTGATTATTTCTGAAAGATTCATTAAAGTCCATCATATAATTCATGAGATATTTTGCTAACAGCAAAAATAGGTTGACACCAACATATAATGTCTCTATTTAAGCAAAATTCTTACGCAAGAAATAGCACTTAAATTACGACTAACTCTCTGCTACAACCTTGCCAAATTTGAGCCCAATATCTTTAAAACTGATTGAAGTGTTGTCACTATTGTATTTTTGAAATTCCTTTATCTCTGGCAGACGTCTTGAATCATGTGGACTCCAAATGTTAATCAGCTGTAAATTTAAATCTGTTGATTACTTTCTGCAAACTTTGCAAAAATTAGTCCTGTAGTTCATGAAATATTTTRCTAACAGACATATGGCAGCAAGCGATAATTATGTTTCTTTTTTATATACGTTTCTGATAGTGGATGCTGCTAATTAAAAAAAAAACAATAATTTCACAAAGCAGTATTTCTTCTTTTCACAACTTAAAAAAAATCTTATTTAACAGATGCACCTGAGTTTACGGAGGAAAACATCAACAAGACCTTGATTCCAGGTGGGGATGTGACTTTCAGCTGCAGTGCTGAGGGAAACCCGAGCCCTGAGATCAGATGGAGCTACAAGCCTGCAGACAACCTGAAGGAAACCGGTGAGGGGCGCCAGAGGATCATCACCATCACAGGAGCCACGTCTACCAATGTGGGCCTTTACATCTGTGTTGCCACGAATAAAGTTGGGAAAGTGACAAGAACAGTCACACTGGCAGAGAGAGGTATGAACATGGAGAACACTTTAACTGCATTTTAATAAAACAAAGCCAAAAAATAAAAATATCAAGAATTTTTTTCTCACTGTACCTTTTATTCTTGTTTCACAGACAAAACCAATGCAATCTTCATTTGGCTACCGATTCTACTGGCCATCCTTATTATTTTGTTGCTTTTATATGTTTACTCCTGCTACCGCAAGAAAAAATGTGGACGTTATGCATTTATTCCGAGCACGGATAGATCCTCTCTCCCCATGACTACAAAATCTGCTGCAGAGCAACCATTCAATGCAAACAGCAGCCTTTAAAGCTATTTATACTTTTAAATAAACTGTAAAGCAGCTTTTTATACAGAATATTTGACCAGATTTCTCATGTTCTCATGTTGCATTTCAGTACCTTTTTTTTTTGCTGTCAGATTGTTTTTTTCCTTCTGTACGAGTGTGTTTTGTTAGAATGTAAAAACTTGAATTAAAAATTGATCATTGTGAGTTATCCAATCTTTAGAAATTAGGACAACTAAAAGCTGATATACCTCACTGAGATGAAAATGTTTTTGTCAACATGTATTTTCCATTTAACAAAATATGACAATCGTCTAATTTAAATGTATTTTAAAAACAACGCTTAAAAATAATAAAAAGCATTTTTGTTTAAAATCAATAAACGGTGAGCCATCGTCTTAAGTTTCTTTCTAGCCAATTGTTAAGTGTAAATATCCATTTTCCCTGTGGGTTGGTTCTAATATAAGTTTTAGGTTTTGCCTCCCTCCATACTTGCTGCTGCTGTATATTTAAAGAAAAAGCAGGGCTTAGTTATCCACAGATAGGGGCACGATCGTGTGAGGGCCAGGAGGGGGCAATGCCCACTCCAAAAAACATTGTCCCCCCCTCCTAACACTACCCACCAGAATTTAAGACCACACCATAAAAAATACATAAATTCTGTTTTGGTGTTTAACTTTGGTGTGCCACCCCTTTAAAAAACTTTCTGGAGGTGTCTCTGCAGACTCTGGTTCCAAAAATTAGGGCTGAACATATTGATCCAAGTATCAATACTATCAATACCAAGAWGAGTATCGAAAAGCGTGATGAGATTGCTTCTTTTAAGATGTTGTTTGCACAACCGACGTTATTTTTCACAAATAAAGTGAAAAATAAGTTGGTAGTACAGAATTTTCAATTGTTTGGAGTTATTGTGCCCACGTGTAATGGAAGCTACTTGTTAATGTGTTGTTGACATTGTTATAGTCCAACTTTTGCTACATTGTTACTTATTTTTTTATTATTTAGCACTAGCGACTTTTGTGCATATYGGAAGATAACAGGAAAATTATTTTATTTTTATACTGTTGCATTGTTTTATTTTGGTGTCTAATATCTTTGTCCTGTGTTTTATCGCAATTGTCTAACTAAAGGCTAAATCACAAAATTATTCAATGAATATGACGAGAATTGGCATCGAGGAATCAGCAATTTAAGCTACCACGTCTACCAAAAATACAACATAGCAGTACAATACTGTAGAACGGCACTTGTTGGCTTTGATGTAATATTTTAGTTTATTAGTAGGCCTGTAAGTTGTCTCAGTAGACACCTGATTGCCAGTTTGTTTTTTTACTGGCCAATCTCACCAGATTAAAACTGTATACTAACTCTAACTTGAATGAGAGGACATAATGAATGTGTTGATTTAATATGGGTACACTTTATGGGTGATATTTAAAGTGAAGCAGGAGGAAGGTCTCTGGTCCAAACATGAGTCCTGGAGCTGCAGTCCTCGGTCCTCGGGGCTGATAATTGGCGCGCGGCCCCTTTAAGACTTCAGGATTTGGGAGTGACGCGGACAGGAGAGCTGGTTTGTCCCTGTTTCCTTCGCTGTGAAAAAAATATTTGGACTAACTTCACCAACTGCTGGCAGCATAAATGATTTGGGTAATTATGATACGGATTTATGCAACTTGTTGAAGGAAGCGACGCCAGAAGGGCCTCCTGATTCGGATCTGATTGATTTTTCCAGTCGGGATTGTTGTGTTTGTTCGGGCCGTCTCTCTCCGAACTGTCTGTCCGTCCGGATAAACTTTTTTTTTTTTTTTGGAGTTCTTTGTACTCAAGCCGAACATGGACTGGGGCACAGAACTTTGGGTGAGTCCATCATCTGACTCTCTGCTGAGTAGAACCAGGATGGGGAAAAACAATGCACTCTTTTGTGTTTTAATCAGAGGAAGTTTGGGAATATTTTGCAAATGATGCGTTCATGAGCACGCAGTTTTTTTCCTCCCTGAGGCGTTTTATTAATTTAGCAAACAATATTTAAAAATTAACACACAGCTCCTGTACTTTACATTAAAAATAAAAATAAGATTTTTCCATATTTTTATGTTAACAGCACTGTCACCACAAGTGAATTTGAGGAAAGCTGTTAAATTTTATTATTTTCTTTAACTGTTTAAAGAGAGTCGCTCTGTTTACATTTAGTCACACTTGGCTTCCATAGAGATAAAATCAGCTGCTGAGATGTGACCTGGCAACAACCATCATCACTGATAAGATGCTCCATGCTTCTCCTTTCTATGCTCTGAGTACTGGTAAAAATAAAAAAAATAGACGTGCAACCAGACTTCTCTACTGTTTGATTGTAAATAATAAAACTGTCAGCAGGGTGAACCCACATAATGCAGTCTTGGAGCAAACACCGAGCCACCTCCTGGAAGCAGAAGTGAAAGGATTCACTTGATCCTGCACAGAAATACAAGCAGCTCTGGCGCTTGCCTGTTCTCAGGGAACCTGGTTTGTAAAATGGAGCATTGCAGAGATGAGAACGGGGAGGTTGTGACCTCATTCCAGTCTCCCTCTGGGCCTTTCCCCCCCACAGTCCCCCTTTTTACCATCCTATGCAGTGGTGGAACAACCTAATTAGTTTTGCCCTACTTTGATTGATTCACAGAAACACTCACTCCAAGTTCCATCTCTGTTTAAAAAAGTTGGATCATGGTTAACATTGTTTGCAAGGTTCGACCAAAACTGCCATAACTTTATTTCCTATTAAAAGATGAGTTTAGCTTAAAACTACAACAAGGCCTTTAACTTGTCTTGAGCATGATGTCTCTGCTGTAGCGTAAGAAGAAATTCTTCAGCAAAAGTGTTGTTTTGTTGTTTTCAGTGAGTGTGTAAATTCCAYGCACCAGAAAAACAGTTCTCTTTTCCGTGTTGGACCGTGGAAACGTACAGGTTCGTTCGAGTTTGTCTGCRCAGGGAAAACTTGCAGGCCAGGTCAGCTCTTTGGCATCTGTTCCCCTGATTGTTTTTAATCCGGTGTCTATTTTAAGGCGCGAGATCAGTGTCTGGGTTTTAGTTGTGATAGTAACTGTAGGCTAACTCCTGTGTGGCAGGTCTGGCAGGGCCATGCTCTTTAAATAAGAATGTTTGACTCAGAGCTGAAACATGCATAGAAACTACTTGCTGCTTGACTCCTTTTTGGGGTTTGTTAACTGTTACTTGACGCAAACGTTAAAAGTTAAAGGAGACATATGCACAAGCCTTTAAATGCTTCTTTTTGTGTAGTCTCTAGGAGTTCAGAAATTTTGAAATTAGTCTCTCCTGGTGCGTAAAGATCTCTAAATTCKTTTTTTKGTCATATTTTTCAACCAGCAGTTTTCTCTATTTTCTAYCGACAAGCCTTCCATTGGTGGGAGAGTCTCTGCCTCACGTGGAGGAGTTTAAGTGTCTGGGTGTCTTGTTCACGAGTGATGGTAGGATGGAGCGGGAGATGGATCAACGGGTTGGGGCCTCGTCCTCAGTAATGAGGGCGTTGCTTCGGTCAGTTGTGGTGAAGAAAGAGCTGRGTCGAAAGGCAAAGCTCTTGATTTACTGGTCTGTCTTTGTTCCAACCCTCACCTGTGGTCATGAGGTGTGGRTCATGACCGAAAGAACAAGATCCCAGAAACAAGCAGCCGAAATGAGCTTCCTTCGTAGGGTGGCCGGGCTCAGCCWTAGAGATAGGTTGTGGAGCTCCATCATCTGGAGGGAGCTCGGACTAGAGCTGCTGCTCCTCCACATCGAAAGGAGTCAGCTGAGGTGGTTCGGGCATCTGATTAGGATGCCTCCTGGACGTCTCCCTTTAGAGGTGTTTTGGGCACGTCCCACTGATAGGAGGCCCCGGGGAAAAACCCAGGACACGCTGGAGGGATTATGTATCCTCTCTAGCCTGGGAACACCTCRGGGGTCCCCCAGGACGAGCTGGAAAGTGTCGCTGGGGAGAGGGATGTCTGGGTTTCTCTCCTGGACCTGCTGCCTCCGCGACCCAACTACGGATAAGCGGAAGAAGATGGAGATAGAGAAGTCTTCCGTTGTTGACGTCTTCTAATTAACTTGTAACTAAAGTTTCTGTGCCGCTATATAGTTGTAAACCCCTCTATCAAACTAGAATGGACCACTCTAGAAGCTGGAGGGAGGCGGGGTGTGAAGCACCTCAGTTGCATTTAAAGAGACAGTCTCAAAACGAGTTGATCTGAGACACACCTCAGAAAATGGGTGAACGAGGGGCTTGTGGAGTTACAGTAAGGGGGAATTTAGACCAAAGCATTGCAATTCCACTTTATATAGACCCCAACAGAGTGATTTAAAGATTTAGAGCTCCTTCAGCAACAGACTGCTGCATCCGAGGAGCGTTATCGCAGATCCTTCCTCCCTGCAGCTGTCTGACTCTATAACCAGCACCACGCCCAAAAATCACAAGTGTTTACAAAAATCACATTAAGTGTTTACACGCCTGCTGCTGCCCGCACAATCATTTGTACTGTTATAATTCATTGTCAATACTTATCTGAACAATCATATACAGTACACTATTACTCATTTATATTATTACTAATCTGAGCAATCACTTTCTCTGTTATTACCCATTTTAAACTTTTTAAATAATTCTGCTGTAATTGCACATCTGTGTTTATTGTCTGCACTGTGATACTTTACAGTTAATAGTCTGTTGAGATTATTTTTTGCACTGAAAATAGGAATATTCTGATTCCTAATGTCTGATAGTATACTGTCTCTAAAACAAAGCATATCCTTTTTTTATTCTTGCACAATTCTTTATATTATGTTTTTTATTATTAGCATTAGTATTGCTAGTCAGTGTTAATTTCAATTTTTTGTGTATTGTCTATAGTTTGTAAAGTAACTAGCGTGTTAACCTCTGTACTGATGCTGCTGTGACACCTGAATTTCCCCTCGGCGGGACAATAAAGGCTATTTCTATTTCTATTCTATTCTATTCTATTCTATTCTATTCTATTCTATTCTATTCTATTCTATTCTATTCTATTCTATTCTATTCTATTCTATTCTATTCTATTCTATTCTATTCTAAATGTGGAAAAGAAGGATTTAAATGCAAGATGTCTCCTTTAAAGTGGTACAATCATTTGTATTGGTGCAACAACAATAAGTTATGGATATTAATATCAGTTTGTGGTAGATATACTCAGTATTTCTGAGAAATGCACCAAAACACAGAATAACACTCTTCAATGTTTTTGTCACAAATACAATGAATACTGTAGCTGAACAACTTCACTAAGAGTTGAAAACACATTTGTGTAATCACAGCTTTAATTGCCTGAATCTGAAAAGTGTTGCATTGGGTACACCGCAAAGCTTTTTTTAAGTGTAACTGTGAAACTGCAGAAACAAAACACTCAATAAGGTGGTTGCTCAGGGAGAAGGGGACACATTTTAGCTCTSTGGACCTGTGCAAAACTTAACCTGCCTCTCAGTCTCCACAGTGTTTTGTTTCATTGTGCTGCAGACTGAACAGAGGTCAAAAACCTGAATATGCAAATAGTAAACTCACCAAATGCAAAACGCTGCAAAACGCTTCAATCGAGAGCTGAAGGCAGTTTCATTTGTGTGATCTTCATACTGTATAGTGTTGCAGACCTCCATAAAATATATTCTGCATTTACAAACATACTGCAGAAATGTAAGGATATTTATTTTAATTTATTCAAAGCAAATGATTCTTTGTGACATTTGTGAATGGAAATAAAAAGACATATTTCTTCTAGTTAATTATAGTTAATTTAATAAAAAAAGCAACAGCAAAGTAAACCTTATGTTTAAAGAAAATGAAGTATGTTATGAGAACGTTGCATTTTAGAACCATACATCATGGTTAGGGCTGCCACGATTAGTCGATTAATCGACGACTAATCGATTATTAAAATAATCGATGACTAATTTAATAATTGATTAATCGTTTTCTCTTTTTTTGTTCTTTACTTTGTTTTTCTCTCCAAACTGCTTTGACACCTTCCACTGCCACATTTGCCTTTCTATCCTTCACACAAATGCACAGTAGTGGTAACTGGGGTAGGCCGTGGACGTCACAAGACATTATACAGACAGGCTCTGGTATCATGGCTACCCAGCAACGGAGCTCAAAAGTGTGGGATCTTTTTAAGAAAATGAAAGAGAAACCTGTGCAATATCTGCAGAGCAGAACTTGCCTTCCACTGCAGTTATTTTTAGTTAGCATATAGCTAAAATCTAACGATGGTTACATAATAGCAGCTGCATTCTGGCGCGATAAGCTCTTTTATGTATATATTATATATTTTAAATATGTTTTATATTCAATTAATGTATGATCCGATTAGCCGACTAATCGAAAAAAGTAATCTGTGATTAATCGATTATAAAAATAATTGTTTGTGGCAGCCCTAATCATGGTAGTGTCATAGGTCTAGTGTTGAATTTTGAATTGTCTAAATGAATTTGTGAAGCAAATCAGAATTGCAGGATGACACCAACTCTCACACAAACGTCTCATGAAACCATATTGAAGAATAAAAAACTTACAAAGCTCAGCTCTGCCTGTAATCCTGCTAAAACTCTTTTATAAAAGCCTGATAATACTGGTAAATCTAGAACTGGGTTTCATATTTCTACTGTTTGAAGTTGACACCTGTCAACATCGATACATTCTGATTTCAAGAGCTTCCAGACTGAGATTGAAGGAGAGGGACGGGGATATCCTCAAACAAAAGATATGCTGAATTAGCAAAATGTGCGAGCCATTTTGACAGTCAAAACTTCTGTTAACCAAATAATGACCTTAAATGAAAAGCCCAGCGTGGCTCCTGCCCCACAAAACAACCCTTTTTTTGAAGGACAGGAACTGGATCGCAGGCTCTCTGTGATTAGGCAATGCGTTGTCTCATTCAGTTAAGTCTCTTTTTGTTTTATCTGAAGAGCACGGAGGGTACAAAGGAACAAGGCCCGACATGTCAGGAATCCCCTTTCTAAACGGGCCCCACTTCAATGCAAAAATTAGCAGCAATAAAAGCTGCGGGGAGCTGCTTTTTTCATTAGAGTGAGAGCAAACCGCTTTCTGTTGCCAGCCCTCGCTACTAACAGACCTGCCTGAACTCGAAAGTGTCAAAAAGTCTCCTGGCAGATAAGCAAAGAAAGGTAAAGAAACAGAATTTCTTTGAAATGTAAAGGGACAAACAGCTCATTTGAATGTAAATGAAGTCAATAAATACGAAATGGTGTCACATTCCTTTTTAAATGATTCTAATTATAGAACAACACAGTTTAACTAGATATTTCAGGCTCATTACGTGCTCTACGATGGGYGTTCTCCATGTTTTACAGCTAAGCAGAAATTTAAAGACTATCAAAAACACGTTTTTCACATGCAAAGAACATTCCTGGAATCAAACAAGCAGGAAAAAAAAGCTTGTTCTCTTTAGTTGATCGYCTTTCATTCAAGATTCTTGCAGCATAAATGTCAGCACMGGATCTATCMTTTCCTTTTTGTTGAAACCATTTTYCCCCCTTCCTCCTCGTTTCCCCAGGATCAATACGACACGATAGAGAAGCACACGCAGACCGGCCTGGAGCTGGTGGAGAAGTACGTCAAATTTGTGAAGGAGAGGACCGAGATTGAGCAAAACTATGCTAAACAACTGAGGTAGGATTCAGTTTACTGTATTGTGTTTTTCTGCATGGGCTGTATTGCAGCTTGTTCTTTCCTGGTTGCACATAAGGATTGTTGTTTCTGAAAAGTTTGCGGGTCTTATGACTGCTTTGGGACAGATTCTAGCTTGTCTGTGAAACACTAGCCTGATTCTCCAGCTGCGGCGTGCTCGCCGCCTCTCCAAAACTTCCMGTCTTTTTCGCCCGGTCGGTTTCCCAGTGCACAAGCCCACATCTGTTGCAGTGCTGAGCTTGGCTGCAGCGTAGAGGAAGTGGGAGCAGACTGGGCGCATGATAGACTGGAAGTGGTCATTGAGAGAGTGAAAGAAGGAAGAGCAGATGTTCGTAGTGGATGGTCGTTTTTTTTACAATGGTTAAATGAAACTTGTAACGGATGCACAGGAAAGTCGTTGATACTTTTGGCAGTTGAGTATAAGGTTTTTCACGTTTTCTCAATYCCTGTCCATGTCCACAGGAATCTTTCCAAGAAATATAACCAAAAACGAAGCAGCAAAGATGAGCCAGAGTGCAGGTGAGCTTCGTTGTGTTCGACATCTTAAGCTGTCACAAAAAAATCRCATTAAAAATGGTAAATAATTGTGTTGTTGTTAGTGTTATCCACGCAGTTGTTGTTGTGGGTTGTTTGCCGGCGACATTGAAATGSCCCCAGGAGGAAACAGGAATAAGGAAGTCGTGATCTTGTTATCACGGCTTCACCCTCTGCAGAACTTTGTGCAATTATCACGTTATCAGCAGTCCCATCCGCATGCCCTCATTTCTCCACCCTTTCCTTTTTCTCCTCTTAAACGATAGGTTGTCCAGCTACCAGTCCTTTCTGGACATCCTGAATGAGATGAACGACTACGCAGGCCAGAGGGAGCTGATTGCAGAGAACTTGATGATGAACATTTGCATCGATCTCACAAAGTACCTGCAAGAGCTGAAGCAGGAACGAAAGACGGTGAGATTAATATGAAAGGAACACATGATGCACATGGATTTCCTGCTTCAGGTCCAGTAGAACCACCCTCTATACACCAATACATCCAGTCATACACCCAGCCTTCAGTGACTCTGTGATTCTGTCCCAGTCTTTTCTTTAGCTTTATTTGCCTGCTGCAGAAGGCAATGGGATCGACAGTGTTTTTGCCTGTGTGTTTGTCTGTTACCAACGTGTCTCATGAACCACATGATGAATTATGATAAAAATGCTGGAAAGTACTGTTTGGATTTACATCTACAGTTAATAGTAAAGCATTCACACTATTGAGATCCGTTTTTCTTCCGTACCTTTTCCGGCACAATTTTTGTGCCTTTTTAACAATTTSTCTAATAAAATATTCAGCTCCTTCAGCACTTTCAGGCTATGACATTTGGTATTGCTGCAATATATACTTTTTGAGATATTTAGCTTTTTTCAGCCATGGTTTCTCATTGAAAATGAAAACAATTGTTTACAGCAGGGTTTCTTAACCTTTTTGACCTTGGAGCCCAATTTGTTGAACATGAAGAGGCACAAGGCCCAGTCAGACATTACCAATGTATGGATCAAAATGATGATTATTCTAAATCTTGGTTTAATGTGTATTGAATTTGGATTATAACTAAATTAAATACACTTTCGGTATAAAAGTAAAACTCCTGTCAAATAATCACAAGACATGATCATGACAAAAACCTGAAATGAAAATTTGCAATTTATCAAATTTAAACTTTTAAACTTTTGCATGGTAGAACCAGAAGCTGCTCTTCATATAAGTGACAAACAATAGCTGTAACAACAGCTTTTTGACAAGTTTAAAGTTTCTTTAAATACATTCAAACTGTTTAAAAACAAAGTACAAACAATTATTTCATAAAGTGCAAATTAAAATATAGTTGTATTTGCAAATTTATTTGATAATGTTTTGAACTTTTAAAATATTGCATGGTAGAACCAGAAGCTGCACTTCATATTAGTGACAAACTTTGGCTTTTTTTGATGGGTTACCTTCATTTTTGCTTTCTACTTTTCATTTAAAATTTGTATCCATTCTCAGCAGGTTTCTAAGGTTCTCCTTCTACGTATTAAAAAAGTTGTTAAGCATCTGAATGGTGCACTACCGCTACTGGTGGTGAGAAAGTGTATTGCAACTTATTTAAAATCAATGCAGTCCCGTGGGCCTCTGTGGCCCAAAGTTAAAAACATTTGTTCTTTTGAGGCCCTGCCATAGGTTAAGAATCTCTGGTTTACAGCATCTCTAAAACCCTTGAAATATTTACTTTCTTTTATTTTCTTTTTGTTGTCTTTCTGAACTTTTCTTCTATTCGTTTTTTGTGCTTCTTTCTGCTATTTTAAGCTTTTGTTCTTTAGCTGCTTTCTGCTAGTTTCAGCTGTTTTCTGTGTTTTTAGCTAATTCAAGCTTTTTTTCAGCCAAATTCACCTTTTTGTGACAATTTCAGCTTCTTACTGCTTAGTTCTGCTAACATATGCTCTTTCTATTTTTTGTGCTAATTTCAGCTATTTCAGCTAATTTTATTTAGCTATTTTTAGGTGAGTTTCAGCTTTTTTTAGCTATTCATCACAAATCTTTCAGCATTAAGCATTCACGAGGTAATGAAAATTCTTGTTAACTTATGGATATTCTAAGTGACGATGGCTGCCACAACCAGCTGACCTTAGGAAACATTAAAGGGCTGTAACTCAGCCAGTTTAGCAGATATAGAGCTAAAATTTGTTATGKTYGTAGCKGAGAGTCRTTTAGTCATAAATTGATTCTAATTTAAAACTTTAGCMTGGAAAGCAATGGTCCGTATGCATTCCTTCAAGAAATGTTTGTGYTTAAATCATATACAAATGGCTGTTCTGTACATGATTACAAATGTGATAATTGTCTACAACAACAAACTCAGAAATGTGTTGACAAAATGCCAAATGTTTTTTTTTATTTATACAACACACAATTTGGGAGGAGAATAAAGTATGGGAGGAGTTAAGAACAAAAAAACAGATTTATGAGTGGAGATGTGGTTATCATACTGCAGCAGCAGGAAAGACRTTTAAGTGTCTCCTGAGGGAGAGCTGCTCTGTCTTCTGTTTGTGCATGAGAAATACTTGGTCTTTGTTATGTCGGATTGCAGAGCAGTGCCGCTGCGTACAATAACTCGCTGAAGATGTTGCGTCTCAGACAAGCTGCTATTTGTTTTTCCCTGTCTGATTTGCAGTGTGGTTTTTCAAGGTCATTGTTTCTCTTGTCTTCTCCCACACATGTCCCCCCCCTGTCATATGACCTCTCTGTCATTCTGTTTTTTTCTTCTTCTTTTTTTTTATTTTTTATAAATGTCTGCAGTATCTGATGGAGGCCAAGAGGGCCCAGCAGAGTTTGGAGAGCACCTACAAGCAGCTCGACAGTGTGAGTCCATTCTTAAAATTATGAGATTTGGTCAAAATATTCCCAGTGTTGTTCACGACCAGATGCAGTTATGCTTTTGTCTGTCTGGTTAGCAAAATATCTCAGTTCACGATGGCTGTTATAGCTAATCAACCTTAGCAAACACAAAAATGTCRATATTACTGATACTGAATTGAAGTTTTACGTGTTAGTAGCTGGTAATCATCCTTGACACATACTTTGAGCTCTAACATATCTGAGATTTCCTAGTATTGCATGAAATTGCAAATAATGTCATTTACAAGGTTTAACCAAAACAACTAAAACTCTTATCTATTTTCATTCAYAAGATGATATTAATTTAACGCTCTCCTTCATGGAATRCTAGGCCTTTAATAATCTGTTGGGAATAATTTCCTAGTCAGTGTGGTCAGGCAGGTGGCTTCATTTGTTTATAGTAAAAACAGGAAATCCAAGTGTAAAACATTTTAAACTCCTGCTGCATCTGTAATCTACATGTTTTATTACTTTGTTCTCTCTCAGTGGAAACCTCTCCGGTTTCCCCTCATGTAATAAAACTGCTTTAATTTTGGATACGCCTAATGTTTGATTCAGACTTGAGCCTTCCTTTCTTCTCTCTCGCTGCACATCAGAGTAAAAAGCGTTTTGAGAGGGAGTGGAGAGAAGCAGAGCGCGCCGCACAACATGCAGAGAAGACGGATCTGGACATCAATGCAACAAAAGCGGATGTTGAAAAAGTAAGGTAGAAAAACTGCACTCTGTAAAAGGAAAAAGTGTTTAAAATAATTCAATGACAGATCAGTTTCAGCATGTTTGAGTTTATTTTATTTATTTATTTTTTTCTGTGGTTTCAGGCCAAACAGCAGGCTCATTTTAAGGCCCAAACAGCAGAGGAGAGTAAGAATGACTACGCTTCTCAGCTCCAGAAGTACAACAAAGAGCAGAACCAGTTCTATTTTAATGACATACCACTTGTTTTTAATGTAAGTCAACTGCCTGTTATGTTTCAACAATCTTTTTATTAATGCCTTTTTTTGTTTGGCTCTTTTTGCATAACGATGAAGTGTAATTTGGTAAATTATGGTTGTGTTTTCTGTAAACCAAACAGTAAAGCAGGATATTCATCAGGCAGAGTTGAGTTTATGTGATTTTGTCGTCTGGCTCTTCCTACTTAAAGCTACTTTTCTGCATATCTGCCAAAAATGTTTTCTATTATGTAAATTTATTATTTTTTCTTATTACAGAGTAATTCCCTATGAGAGGAAAAAAAGTCTAAAATAGCAGTAAAGTTACTTTGTTTGTCCATAGGAGGAACAGATTCTGATGCATATGTCAACTATTTTTTTTGCAAGATTTAAAATTAATTCCCATAAACTAAAAACTTGGATTTCAAACCAGTAATGAGCTTTTTAAAAGATTTTTGTTTCACCTTTTTATAAATATCCAAAAAAAGAAAGAAAAAAAAGTATTCTGGTGATTCTTTACATTTATTAATAATCAAAAATAAAGTTGTAAAACGACAGTGGATTCGGTTTTGTTTGTTTCTGCTGCTGACAGAGTCTGAATCACTGTTTTTGTGTCCTTCAGAAACTGCAGGATCTGGATGAGAGACGAATACGGAAGTTAGCACAAGGCTACATTTTGTTCTCAGACACAGAAAAGCAAGTGATGCCCATCATCGGAAAGTGCCTGGAAGGCATTACTAAAGCTGGCGCTAACGTTAATGAGAAGAACGTGAGTTTGTTTTAGCGAATGAGAATATTGTGCGTCATGAGGTTTTTAAGCTACGTTCGTTTAAAAATAACCTCTGGTGTCTTTCACTCCTAATTGCTTTTAACGTAGGACGCGATGATTGTCATAGAGCAGAATAAGTCCGGATTTGAGCGTCCTGGAGACGTGGAGTTCGAGGACTACAGCCAAGGAATCAATCGAGCCTCTTCTGACAGTAGTTTGGGTACACCTAAAGGCCCCATGGACCTGCTGGGGAGGAATAAGGGCAAAAACTTTTGGCTTTTCAGCAGGAAGAGTAAGGTAGGACTTTTTATTTTAATAGATCTTATTCCTTACAGTCAAATAGAGATGTGAAAGTTACAGGTGCAAAGTCTGACTCTTTTTATTTATGCGTCTAATTGACTGACCAGCAGTGACTCGATCACTGCTCAGGTGGTCCAATCAGAGGGCAGATATTGTTGCCTCATCCAACGGCTCATTTTATCACTTCAGTTTAAACATTCACTTATTTCAACAAAATCCGTCAAAAACATCCTCTCAGACCTGTTTGGTCTCGTTTAAATGTTCAACGTTTGAAAAACAGATGCTCTGCTGCAATTCTAGTTATTAGAGAATGGCTCTTTTCTTTAAAAATCGATATGTTTTTATCATGATTTTTGTTTTATGTCTCTTGAACCAAGAATCTTGGTCTAAACAGGTTTAATCGTTTTATTCCCTGCTGTTCGTGTCATGATCTGTGTTTTTGCTTTCATTTTCTAGTGTTTCTCTGTTCCCCTGTGTCTCTCTTCCCCGCTGTCTTGCCTCCAGCCCCACCCACGCGTCTCCCCAGGTGTTTCTCATTGTTCCTCATTAGTTCACCTTTATATTCTGTGTCCTGTCTTCAGTCTTTGTCGGATCATTGTTCTATGTTCAGTTTTCAGTCTTCCTCGTCCCTGCTTCATGTTTGTGAGTACTTGAGAGTGTTTATTGAGCTGCCTTGCCAGCATTTTTGGTTATTATTAAAAGCTTTTGTTACCTTTTTGAACCTCGCCTGCGCCCTGGGTTTTTTCCTCCCCGAATCTGTCAGTTTGCTTGTTAAGTGTTTGAACACAATCCACAAGTTACACAAGTTACAGTAAGGGGTTCTCAAGCCATTTGGGTCTGGGGACCCCTTACAAGGGTGAAAACAATTCCAGGGACCCCCTCATAAACCCCATGCTGTTTTAAAAGATAATTTATTGTCATTTCAACCCCTAAATGCCACTGGAATATATATTTTTTATTAAAGAGTAACTTACCCCAAAATTAACTTTTTTTAGCTGATAAACTGTCTAGAATGTGTCTAAAATGTTATATAGTAC